GGCATCCACTTCCAAAATGGCTTGCCTCCGGAAACTCTATGTACGAACAGTGCTCAGGCTGTTCGTTCATAGGGTCGCTATGAGTCGTCTACGACTCGATGGCATTAAACAACAACAACAACAACAAAGGAGATATAAAATGTAAAACTATTTTACAAGTTATTTAACACTTAATTGGTTGATTGTTCTTTTAATGTGAGATCAATATTTTAAATTACTCAGAATGATAGATAGTGGCTATAACTCCCACCAGTGAAAGCTCTTGGGTTCCCATAATTTCTAAGATCATCAAAGGTCCCAGAACCTAATAACTCCGTAAACTCATGGCTTAGATTGACTGGTTTTGTATTACAAACATAGAAGGCAGGGTGTTCTAATCCTGGTGCATTGGCTAGTAGTGCCTGGCCCACAGTGTCTCCTGAGAATGCGCTGAAGTAGTATGAGGAGAAGACAGATGAGAAAGCAATTTGAACGATGGTTTTCAGTTTTGACCTTTATACCTCTCTGATTCTGTATAGACAAGAAACCTGATCGGGAAGAAATTCAGATGAGCAGTATGGGATCAAACACAAAATCATTAGGTAGGTGATTAATTTCTGCCTTAAAGTCTGGATAATATTCCATTGGAGTGTGAAGAGCTAGTCCAGCTCCTAAATTCAGAACCTCTCTTCCAGCAGCATCTTCACCCTTTACCACCCTGGAAAGAGCACCAGCTTTTCCCATTTGAATGGATGAAAGAAAACTTAGTAAAACAAAAGCCATCCGGGTTTTTTGTTTCATTTTTCTCTCGGATTCTCTCACGCTAAAACATTTAAAAAAAACTATACTCCTCTCATTCAAGTTGGTATCCAAGGCTGTTATTAACAGACCTTCACAGTCTGATCTTAGGCTGTGTGGTGGTGGTTTTTTGGGTTTTTTTGTTTGTTTGTTTGTTTGTTTTCTTTTAGATAGAGCCTTCACAGACTTTTAATGTCTCTCTGGAACATTTTTTTTCTCTTTTTAAAAATTATTTTAAAAAAATTTTTTTACAGCATATTCTTCCCATTTATTTTTTTTTCTAATTCATTCATTGTTGCACATTTTCCTCCCTGTCCCCCTGCTCCCGTCCCAGTTTGCTTTTCTCTGAAAAGAAAAAAAAATCTTTCATTGTTCTACAACCTCTCCCCCTTCCCCCTTCAGGTCCATAGTCTACTATGCATCTCTTTTTCTGGACTCCTGTCATAACTACAATACGTACCTTTTAAACAGTTCTCTTCCTCATCTCTTTAAATGCTGTATACATTATTTATCCCATCTTTTCTTAGGTTCCTCCCAACCCTGAAGTCAGTTCCTTTTTACAGCAGTGGCACTGTGCAGTATTTGTCCTTTTGTGACTGAGATATTTCACTCAACATAATATCCTCCAGGGTCATCCATTTTTTTATAATATTTCATGAGTTCCTTGCTGTTCAATGCAGCATAGTATTCCATTGTGTGAATATACCAGAGCTTTTCTGTCCATTCGTTTGTTAATGGGTCTCTGGAACATTTGGTAGAGTTCAGTTTCCATGAGAAGGGCCTAATACATATCTGTTTGGTGTATATTGAATACCCGAAGAAGATTTGACATTCCGTTTTCTTTCTTTTTGCACCTAGATAACAACTATTCCACACTTAATGAGAGAGGGGACCACAACAGGACACTGGATCGATCTGGGGACTTAGGGGATATGGAGCCATTAAAGGGAGCACCCTTGATGGTAAATTCTCTTGATTCACTGCTACCTTTCTAAGTCAGGTTCTATTTTGAAGCCTGTATGTTTTTTGAAATAGTAAAAAGAAGTATGTAGTGAAAGACAGTATTTTTTGGTAGGGATATTTATTTATTTATTTATTTATTTTTTTATTTTGTGTGCGTGTACCGTCAAATCAGATCTGACTGGTACAGGAGGATATTGCGCCTCCTTCTCCGGCAGAGCATCTGGTGGATTCAAACCGTGTCCCTCTGGGATTGCAGTGCAGCTTCTTGCCACTAGGCCACCAGAGCTCCCCTAGTAGGGATATTTTTGGGGAAAGTAGGAGTTTTCACTCATCTTGGGATCTCTGGCTATTGTTCATTGATGGCTGAAGTGGGGGAGGAAGGCTGTAAGTTTCTTACTGATACTAATATGACTAACACTAACTGCTCTCTTCTCTCACATTTCTTTCTCTCTATGACCGGCTACGCTTTCTCGAATATCTTGCCCTTCTCTTAATGCTGTCCTTGTTAAAGAGTACTGATTTTGATATTTACCTAGATCTGGCACACACTCCTGAGGTTCCTATTTTCTTACTCTTACACTAACAAATTGCATGTGTTCACAGCCAGACGAGGGGCAGGAATCTCTGGATGAAGAATTGGATGTGTTGGTTTTGGATGATGAGGGGGACCAAATGTCTTACCCCCCCATGGTATGTCCTCTGGCCACCCCTAAGATCATCCTTGAGACAGGATGCCCTTGTGTGCCAACAGTTGCCAATCATGCTGATCTGATCAGGGCAGAGATCCTAGTCTTGGCCATGTCGGGTGCAGGGGTTCTGCTTCTGTGATTGTGACCCCTTCAGAGGCTGGGATGTGCAGCTGGTGATCTGCTTCTCCTTTGTGTGTGCTTTTTCTTCCTCCAGATTGACTCAGCTGGCTTTTTTGATTCTTGTACTGCTTGTCTTTTAACATGTATTTCTCTTCTCTTTTTCTCCCCTACAGCAGAAGATTTAGCACCACTATCTCCGTTCCATCTGAGCTTATAATATATGTACTTTTATTTTTTTGGTGGTGAACTGGATTGATGATTTTTCCCCCTTTCTTCGATGGTCTATTGTGCCAACTGCCAGGCTGCTCCTGCCCTTCTAGCCTTAAGTGGCTGCCTTCTTTTCAACTCCCAGCTTCCTCCAGTGAAGTTTTAATTGGCCCCTCACTCCTGATTCCTTCCAGTTTCTCCCAAAGAACTTTTGACCCAGTTATTTGCATAGGATGCCTGGACCTCTCCTATCTTGAGAAACTGCTGCAGATTAGCCCTTACCTGTTCCCCACCCCCTCACCCCCTGCCTTCCCTGGAACTTTAGGACTTTGTGTGGAGGGGAAGGAAAGAGTGGAAGTCTTCACTGGAAGCCGTTGGGAGAATTGGAAGTTACATGCTATATATATGCAATGCCCAGCAGTCTGATAAACTGGTGATTCTTAATTTTTTATTTCCTGATGGGGAAGGGAGTTTTTATTTTTATTTTTTCTTTTGGAGAAGGGGAGTGTGAGTTCTTCCCTTACAACTGTTGGCTATTTTTGAAGCAAGGAGGGTTGGCAACATTGATTGGCACATTCCACCCGGCAAAGGTGCTTGAGTAAGTGAGGGTCCTGGAACTGGGATCAGAAACCTTGCTCTTCTCATCTCCAAGGCAGGGACTGTAAAGGAGCTACAGACTCCATCTCGTCTTCAAGCCTCCTGCCAACCCTGGATTGCTGCTGCTGCCCCTTACTGAGGCTGTTGGTAGCCCTCATCGCCCATCCTGTGATATGGCTGCGGACCTGGTCATTTGCAAGAGGTTATTGAAAAAGGAGAATAAGTCAAGAATTTTGGGGTGAGAAAGAGCAGAAAGATGTCTTTTGGGGAGAATAAGCTCCAGGAGGAGCTAGTTGGAATGTACATGAAGCAGTTAGTCTGAAACTGGCAGGAAGCTTCAAAGGTGGCTTCCCCCCTGCCCTATTTCTCCTGGTCCTACCTTTGTAGTCCCATTTCCTCCCCACCTCCTCTCTGGGGTTGGTTGGCCAACTAAAGGACTTGATGTACATATAACTTCTGCCCCCTTTCCCCTTCTAAGGTGGAGATTGCCCCGGCTTTGCCTTTTCTTTGTGCCTTTGGCCTGGGGTGCATCTCCACCTTCCCTTCCATGTGCCTTTCTTTGCCTCTGCAGTCTCATTTCACATGATTTTGCAAATTATATTTTGTTGACTGTCCACATTATCGGCCCTGTATAGCAGAAAGACGGTTGATTGGGAAAACCTTAGATTCTCTGTTGAGGATTGGTATAGCCTCTAATTTCAGCCATAGCAAGGTTTTTTGCTCCACGGCTTATGGTTGGGATTTTATTATAATAATAATAATTCTGATGAATCTTTAAATAATTTTGATGGGAGAAATGAGTGATAGTACTTTTAAGTCCTCAGCTCCCTCCCCAGAGTTCACCACTATTTAGGCAAATTGTGTTCCTTCCACTGGACCACCCAACACACCTCTCCCACTCCAGTTAGTAATACTTTATTTAGCAAGTTGAGCTAGAGGAGTCGGCTGCAATATGAGTTGATTTTTTTTTTTAATTCCCTTTTTTCTTGTTTACTTTTTTCTTCTCCTCGTTAATCTAAAAGTTCAATCAACTGGAAATCTCTCTCTTTCTCCTCTCCCAAGCTTTCCTTGTAATATTGAGGCTATGGGGGAGGAGAAACGTGCACACCCTCTCCCCTTTCCTGGTGCATTTAAAATTCCTTATTTGCTCTTTTCCCTCTTCCTATATCATTGTACTCTCATCCACTTTTCTGGCAAAAAGGAGCCTTTTGTTCTCTCTGATCTTAAGAGCACACTGCACAGGGGAAATCACCCCATCCAGATTGGCTCTGCTCGTTTCTCTCGTCATCCGGTGCTCTTTTTCTCGGTGGGGTGTGGGTAATTGACAGCCATGGACTTTTGGGGACCTTTAACTTTTTTCTTTTTCTGTTTTTGTTTATAAAAACACTAAACATTCAATTCCAGAGAACCAAAAATCCCACCTTTCCACCGACACTACTAAGGAGCTTATCTTCTGCTCCATACCTTTTCTTTTTCTTTCTCTCTTGTTAATGCTTTTAAAAACAAATGAATTTTTTATATAAATAAAGTTTTGAAAGTGTGTATGTGGGGGGTCTGTGTCATTTCTTTACTTTAAACTATTATCTCTCCTTTTTTCTCCTGGTAACCTCCTTCCATGTCCATGTCCTTTTCTTCTCCAGAGCAATCAGAAGGGGGTTGGACTAGGAGGGACTTAGTTTCAGATTAACCTCAACTCTTATCAAGCAACATTTCTTTTAATTATATGTGAAACATTCTTCCTTCTGAAGAGCCTTAAAAATTCAATGTGGCTGAAGTATAAGGAGCTTATTGCTATCTTAGATAAAGGAAATAGAAAGAATTACGACTTCCTTAGTCACTGGAGGATGACCAAGGACTAAAACCCACTGTAGTATATGGTCTTCTTCAACGAGTGAAAGGTTAGAAACTATCAACTCCACCTGACATCTAAATAATTGTGGAAATGTAGCACTGAAAGGTCCATGTGTGTAAGTGCTGGACACTGGGCCGTGAGGCTGCACCTTGGGCTATCCATATTCTTCAGTGAGAAGATGAGGGACAGACCACCAGCTTCTTTGTGCCCTACCGAGTAATGCAGAGGTGGGTAGCAAATACTTGTTGTATTTAGCAGGGATTGTTTTTACTGCAGAGGCCAAGGAATAAGACCTATGGAAGCGGCTTATTTTTCTGGGGCCCGTATTTCCTATTATATAATTAAAAGAGTCAAGAGAATTTATGTAAAATGCTTTCTGTATGCCCGAATCTTTAGATTAAAATTATATAGCTCCTCTTGATGATGGTCATGTGTCATTTTATTGAACTAGGATTTGGGACTGAAACTTGTTTGGGCTAGTGAAATCAGGAAATGTAAACATTGTAGTTGTTACGTTGGTCTGTTAGACAATTAAAATATGTCACTAGAAGAATGAAGCACGAGTCAATAGTTTGGAGACACTTGAGGTAATTTTTACCTATTAGACAACCTGGCTCCTGGGGAGTGGCCCTTCTTTCTCTGTTCTTTGTTATCCACTGGCAGTGAATGAGACACAGCCCTTACTCTTCTTTCTCTCTGGGTTAATTTGTTATATTAATTTCCTTCAGAGCTCTTCTACTTAAGAGGCCTTGTTATTGTATTTAGGTTTAAGGTAGAATGTGAAACAGGGAGAGATGCTGTCCACAAAAATCCTGTGGATTTAGTGTCTGTGATTTTCCCTTACCTAAAATGAAGTTGCAAGAATTATACGGAGCCTGTATGTAGATCACTTGCTTACCACCAATTTAAGAACCCTTTGGGCTTTGCTGAGGTTTGCACATGTAGCAGTCTGAAGAAACCACATACATTATTTTGATGCAAGTGCACTGCAAATTAACCACACCTTGAAACACTGATCTCTAGCGACTTATGAGTCAGAGCTTTAGCTAGAACCCAGATAACAGTCTCCAAGTCCATTAGTAATAGTAGCTTAATGACTGATGTAGGTAATAATGTGGCAGATGTGGTGATTGCCAAATTGAGAGGAAATTCGTGTTTAACTTGAAAAAATGGTATGTAAGGGAAACCTGCAAATTGTACCATAAGTACAGAATTCCAAGGCTGCTGCCCTTGATGTGGAATAGAGAAACACACTGGTGGCGTCGTCCATTGAGCGTTGCACTGCTGATGCAAAGGCCAGGCAGGCTTCTCTGGCAGTTCGTACCCACCAGCTGCTCCAAGGGAGAAAGATAGTCTCTTCCTGTGCGTATAGATGTAGAAACCGGTTAGAGTGTCAGCTATGAGTTGGAACAGGCTAAATGGCAATGAGAGAAGACGTGGGGAATCTCCTAGAACAGCAGACGAGTCCTACCTCTGGCTTCAAAGAGAGAGTATCAGTAGGTACAAGATGAGCCATGTGACCCCACTGGCCAAAGCTGGGAGTCCATTCCTGGAAACATCACATCACTCCAGAGAGAGCCCTGCTCAGGAAAGCACCAGGCGAGAAGGTCTGTCTAGGAGATTTTTTCATAACCTTACACAGAACTTTAGGACTTCCTGATTTCCATCTTTTTTGACTGTTCTTCAGCTTGTCCACTCAGACAGGCATGGATGAAGATAAAGCTGGAGAAAGGCAGCAGTGAGAATGGCTCTGACTACATCGGTTCCCTGTGACTTCAGTTTTCCACCTTTTGTGTATTTTGAAATGTCAGGAATCAGCTAGTCACAAATGAATTCAGCTGAGTACTTTACACTTGCCAGTGGAATTGTACAAACCATAAGCTTACTTAGTGTAACTTGATTTTTTTTGGTAACTTTATTTTTTAACACCCCCCAAAAAACCAACCCAGTAAAAGCGTTATTTTGCCACGTATATCACAGATTGGTCTGCTTTATTACAGAGAACGGGATCATAATTTCTTTACTAAGAGCCCGGAAAAGATTACTGTATTACCGTCATTCCTCATCTCAGTGCTAATGGATGAACAGTGGATACTGTATTTTCCCGAAGAAAGGAAAATGACATTTGTGGTTATGTGCCAGGCACTCTGTATCCTGCTCTTATGTTCAGCCAAACCACTTTTTTTCTTTTTCACTTTATGGTTATTTATAGGTTTCCTCCTCCTAAATCCCAGACGCTGTGCTTTTTTACAGCCTGCTTTGTCCCCAGTGTCCAGCTGACAGGGGAAGGGGCAGTATTTGTAGTTGAATGGATTCTAAGTTGTTTTTGGCTACTTTTGCTGGATTAGAGGCCTTGAAAAATCGACAAGAGGAAAAAGGAGCTACTAACACTGTTTAGCATGTGCTGTCGAGTCATAGCTGACCTTCCCAAAGGTTTTCAGAGGTTACAAGGAAGGGTGGAAATTGCCAGTTTTTCTCCTGTGGAGCAACTGGCAGATTGAAACCCCAGGCCTTTAGAGTGTGCAGCTC